ATGGAATCAGGGAACAAGAACAAGATGTTCGGCAAATTCTTTTCAAATCCTTGATTAAGAATATACCACCAGAAGCAATCCTAGAAGTATGGTTTGTCCGAGCAACTGGAACTCAAGGAATTGGTCATTATGTGGTTCTGCTTGATGAAGGAACACATTTATGCACTTGCCTTCTCTTGATCAATAAAGGATTAATATGCAGGCATTTTTTTCGAGTAGGTACTTATTCTCAACATGCGGCATTTCACATGAATATTATTCCAAGCCGATGGTACCTAGATATCAATATTCAGTTAGATAATCTTTCTCCTATTTCGGTATGTGGTACACAAACAGAAGATAGAGTAGGAATGGAAAAAAGTATTACCTTTCAACACTTTTTTACATTTCGGGTTGATTCACATGTTTCCAATTTGGCTATAAAATCAACTAAAGCTATTTATGCAGAATTGTTTGGGTTATCAAAGAAAGCTATTGATTGTGCACTTAAAGCCAATATGCAACATGAGTTGATGAATTTACTCAAGTCTTTTATATATGATAAAAATAATAAGAATGTTAAAATTCAAGAAACTCAAGAAACCTTTACTGATATTAATAATCCTGCTATTACTAAACATAAAGGACAACCTCCAAAAAGGTTTAAATCTAGTGTAGAAACTTTGGGAAAAAGGGTTTTAAAGGATAGTACAAAGGTTAATATGATAACAGACAACGTTATAGTAGAAGAGGAAACAAATAATACAAAAGGGCGAAAATGTGGAAAGTGCAAGCAATATGGACATTATGCGAAGACATGTCAAAATAGTTGTTAGATTATAGCATGTATGCGCACTTTTAATAGTATGTATATGCATGTATGTGCATTTAAATTTTATAATAAAAATAATAAAAAAAAATTTTGCGCACAATGAAAATATTATCACGTGATACATGTTTAAACGCCTGAAAAAATCAATTTTTTATTAATCACGTGATGCCGTGTTTGAGACACCCGTGTACGAATAGAAATTGCCTATTCCTATATAGTAAAATATCAACGATAATTCTCGAAACTTTTATTATTATGGATTTTTGGGAAAAAGTTATATCAAAAATGTGTTACTTACACAAAAACGCACTTTTTATATATGTTTGCTTTATTAAATTTAACAGTGGTAAACAACGTATCGTGTCTATCGTCTATATACACCATGGCCATTATTGAATATGATTCTTCGCTGAATACCTTGTTATAAATCAGTAAATATTTTTTTATATTTTCCTGATTATAAAAATAAAATTTTAATCACAATGTCAGACTTGACTTTTTTAACCAAAAAAAAAAAAAATAAATAAAATGTGATTTTTTGATTAAAAATGTCGAACTTGACGTTTTTTATATTAAAATACAAAATCGTCATTTTTTAATTAAAACTTATAACACAAAAATTATCTATCACATTATATCCGATATTCCAAAGGATCATGTAAAGCAAAATTTTATAGTTATCCGATAGTATTTTATATGCAATATCAAATATGAAATTTATTTCATTATTATTTATACACGCAATAAAATTATATTTATATACATTATCAATTCTATAAGCTAATCAAATGTGGAAAATTAAAAGTGCAGTTATTAAATGTAAAATTACCATTTTTAAAAGCTTCATTTAATTTGTTAAAATCATTTGTTGTAATGTTGTAGATTCTTGAAGAGGAGGGCTTGAAACTTTGGAGAGGTGATTATCGTTAATTAGAGAAATATTTTTATCTGCAAGAATAAATTAATTTTTTAATTTAATAAATTTTTTGTAAAATTAAAATACACAATACTTGTACATACCTTTTACACATTGAAGGCGACAATTTTGCTTTACTTCCCTAACCGAATTATTAATCACAAATTAAATTTCTTCAAAAATTGTCCTTCCTGGTTACTACCCTAGTGTTTATTTTGTTAATAAACTTGTTGGTGGTGAATTTATTGTTAAACATAAAGGAAAGGAATTTACTAAAGCTACAATTAAAAAATAAAAATTATATTTAATTACCATAGTACGCAATATATGTAGTTTTTTTTAATTATCAAAATAGTAACCATATTTTTGCGTTCAATAAACGTTATATGGATAGAAACACCTTGTTTGTTGCTTTTCTATAAATTTATTGTAATACTTCCGAATAATAAATGGTATAATTTATAAAAGTTAAGAAAAAAACAACGATATTTCATTCGAGAATTTTACAGGTGATTAATTGTCAGATAGTTATTTTTTTTTTCAAAGTCGGAATCTTAATTTATTACAATATAAAAAAAATATTTTTCGTGATTTGAGATGTATGACAATTTATTTATTCTATCCGGATTTTATGTATGGTTTTCGTTCCCCAGATTTTTAATTTTGGATAATAAAATTATTCGTGAAACGATAAATATAAGATACCCCCTAATCCAATCTTTCCATAAAAATGTGTCGTAATAACTAAGCGGCGGCAAATCCAAAAAAAAAAATGATGTGCGTTATTGATTTGTATACTTATATAGTATACTTTATGTACCATATATTAAACTTCTTTTAGTTTAGTTTTGTTTACAATAATAGATTTGCATTCGAATCGCACAAATCACGTGATTATTAGGAATAATGATTAGCTTCTTTAAAGGGGCCAATTTGAAAAAAAATCAAATGTTTCAAGATATAAAAGATATAAGGAGAAATTCATAAAAATACTATTTAACATCATAAAATGTCATCGTCATAAATCGGTAAATTGTACGATAAATAAATATATACATTTAAATGAACCAAAAACAATATACTTTAATGTATACGCGCGTTTTGAATTGTATGATGGAATAGTATTTCAGGTTGATAATTTCAACGGAAAATATTTATACGATAAGGACTTTTGTTAAAAAGCTCCTTGATAAAATTATTAGTACCAAATTGTTAACGTCTTGATTGTTTCAGAATTAGTAAGTTTCTAAATAAGCAACTACCGAAGAAATAGCTAAGGAAAATTTAAGCGTGAAGGAAAATTGGTTAATGCACTTTATCAGCGTCAATAAGCAACTTTAAGATTGATACTAAAATTGTTTCACCATTTCTTGACTGAAAGGAATTGACGATATGAAGATTATTTTTGAAATCTTTTAATTGATCTTCAATCACATAATCATAAAGTCCGTTGGTTTCACTATCATTTCTATCTTCATTTAATTGCTATTTCTTCTTCATAATATTTTAACATTATCAATTTGGTCAATAAAATAAAATGAAAAAGGAGATTCAATATCGAGAACATCCTGGCTGACAAATTGTATCCTTATATCCATCAGGTTTTGGACCTTGCATATCTTCAATTTGGATAATTCTTATCCATATGAAATTGTCCCAAAAATTTGAGTAATCTTTCATAATATTCGTTTAAATATGTTTGTTAATCAATATAGAAATAATTTTTTATTACAAATAATTTTTCTAAAGCACATAAATTTTAGCTATTGTATGTTCTAATATGAGTTTATAGTGCTGCAGAAAATGAAGAATACGAATATAATTCTTGCTTATTTAACGCGATTTTTATATGCCAATACTTGTGGATTTTTCTTCTATCCATTTAAGAGTTTTATCTTTCAAGCATTTAAACGAAGTTTGGATACTCAAATATTTTTCCGTCTAAAAAGAAAATTTACCGTAACGTTATAATATAAAAATTTTTTTTTTTTTTTTTAAAGAACTGTTAAAGATAAATACTTATTTTATATGATCGACCGAGTTACCATTTCGACGGATATCCCATACATGGTAAACACAATGGCAGTTCTTGTAGTAAATTTTTTTCGAATGGATAAGTAGAATAAACAATATAAGATAATGACCTAAGAGATCAGATATAGGAATATTTCCTGATAACGTTTCAATAGTCATTTTCTTCAAGGTGCACACGAAATTAAAAGACTCGAGCGAAAGTGGATTCCTGATCTTCATGAATATGAAAAATGATACACGCATGTTTCATAGATCTTTCTCAAATTTATTTCCGGAATTGTCTGATAGTTAATACCGTAAAAAAGAAATTACAAAAAAAAGATCGGCCATTTACCATTAGGCGATCCGTCGCAGATCCTTTTAAAAAAAAAATCATAATATACAAAAATAAAAGTCAATTTTCTTTCTTTTTTTCGTTAGAAAAGCATTTATAATACAAAAAAATGCGTTTGATCTTTTTAATAAAATTTTTGCATAACTAAAATTCCATTTGTTTAAATTGATTTTATAATCGGCTAAATCAGATCGGTTTAAATATTAGCCGGTTGGTCGATTTTGACGTAACCGGTTAGTCGGCTTAAACCGGTTTAAATATAGCCGGTTAGTCGTTTTGTGTAAACCGGTTTAAATAATAACCGGGTCAATCGGTTTAAAATATAATCGGTTAATCGAACCACAAAACCGGTTAAAACCCAAACCGATTAAAATTCGATTATAAATCTTTTCCAATTTAATTTGTGCCGCTCAAAGAAGGAAATTGTAACATTGCATCTGATTATTAATTATTGTTCGACAATTCAGCCTTCTTTAATATATTTTAAATATCATAGTATAATTTAATATAACAAATTCAAGGGTTTGAGGATTAATCTTTAGCAGAAATATGGTGAGATCTACCATGGAATTTTCCTCCCCAATGTGAATGATAAATTATCAAGTAATTATATTTAATAATATTTTCGTTATTTTATGAATATTTATTATAGTTTTGATTATACTTTTGTGGGAGAAAAAAGGTGAAATTCAAATAAATAATTATCAACTTGTCATTAAAATTTGCGGTGTTCGAAGTTGGATATTACCATACTTACCAGCCTAAATTATGTTCGCTCATGGATCATCTTAATGGGTGCGTCAATTGCGTCATTGTGTCACCGTGTGATTGTGTGATTGCAGATAGTCGTACAGAATATAATATTTAAGCCTAACCCTTAAAAAAAATTCTAAAAAAAAAGTTTGCCGTCATGCCTTTTGAAAGCCTTCAAGAAGTTGCTAATGATTTTGAAAAATTACTTGTAAATGATGAAGATTGTAATGTAATAATTTACGTAGGTGAAAATGAAAATATGAAGGAAATACATGCACATTCATGTATTTTACGTATTAGGTCCCAATATTTTCATACAGCACTCTCTAAGAAATGGTCTGAAAAGAAGGATGGTAAATTTATTTTTAGAAAACCTAATATTTTACCTCACTTATTTGATATGATTATAAGGTAATGTTAAATTTATATTAATATTTTATTTAATAATAATAAGGAAATAATTTTTTATATTAAAAATTTTATTTACAAAAATTTACAAAGAAAATATTCGAAAAATAAAGTAATGTTTTTTTTTTTTTAATATTTAGATTTATTTATTGTGGTAGAATTGATTTGGAACAATTACAAGGACCTGAAATCTTAAAACTTTTGGTAGCAGTGGACGAACTTAGAATTCAAACATTAATCGACCATATTCAAGAATATTTAGTTGAACATCAATATGAATTTTTACAACAAGATCCTATTGAAATAATTGAAGCAGTTTATCAAAATGAAATTTTTACAGATTTATTAAATCTTTCTTTTAAAAAAATTTGTGAAGAACCGGAAATGTTATTTAATTCTGAAGAATTTATTAATTTAAAACCAGCTTTATTAGAATTACTTTTGAAAAGAGATGATTTATTATCTGATGAAATAGTTATTTGGGATAATTTGATTAAATGGTGTTTGGCTCAACATCCTAATATTTCACAAGATCCTACACAATGGAATAATGAAGAAATCAAAATTATGGAAAAAGAAATTAATAAATTTATTCCGCTTATAAGATTTAATCATATTTCATTAGAAAATTTTGTTACTAGAATATATCCTTTCAAAGAAATAATATCAAAAGATTTAATTAATAATATGCTTTTGTTTTATGCTCAAAATAAGAAATTAAATGAGGATAAAAGACCTCTTAGACAATCAAGGTGTAATATTATTGATTCCGTTATAATTAATCAAAATCATATGGGAATTTTTGCAAATTGGATTTATAGAAAAGAAAAAATCTCTGGATATATTCCTTATAATTTCAATTTACTTTATCGTGCTAGTAGAGATGGTAATACAGCTACAGCATTTCATGAAAAATGTGATAACAAAGGTGCTACTATAGTTGTAGTTAAAATCACAAATTCAGAGCAAATAATTGGAGGTTATAATCCACTTACTTGGGATACTTCGGGTTGGAAATCTACTTATGATAGCTTTATATTCTCATTTTTAAATAAATATGATTTTAAAAGTGCAAAAGTTAGTTATAGTAATGGTAATGCAAAATCTATAGGTTGTCGTGCAATTAATGGTCCAATATTTGGTGGTGGTTGTGATTTATGTTTTTATAAAGGTACTTGGTATAGTTTTATAAATGGTCATAATAGTTCTTATCTTAAAATTGATATACCTGGTAGTTTTAAACCAGAAGATTATGAGGTTTTTCAAGTTGTTAAAAAATGATTTAGTTTAAACAAATTTTTTTCAGCTTAGTAGATTTCTCGTATAGTATATAGTAAAATTTGTATAGTACATTTTATATTTTATTATTTAAAAAATAACTTACCAACTAAAAAATATATATGAATATAACGGAAAAAACATTTTTTTTTACAAAAATAAATCATATGTTATATGTATATTATGATAAAATTTTTGACAAATTTACAAATTTACAAGTTTTTGATTCTTGACTTTACGTTATATTTTATAGGATAAAATATATTTTTAGGGTTTTTGGTACGAAATCTCGAAAATCATTTGAGCGACTGACACAAGATCGACAACAAAATCTCGACAATCCAATATCTTGTAAATATTACATATATTGCAATAAATTATTTTATTAGAACACATCAACAAATTTGTCGATATAATGACTTGTCAGAATTTTGGATTGTCGAGATTTTGTTGTGTCGATCTTGTGTTAGTCGTGCAAAGTGACTGTCGAGATTTTGATCGGATATCATTTTTAGATAATTGAGTGCCTGAGTTATTAATCATACAAAGTTAATATTTTTAAAGTGGTTTATTGTCTAATAAGAGAGCCATAATATGTACATAAATGAAGTTACGCGAATGAAATAGAATTTCATCCAACTTTTTTTTTTTTTAAAAAAAAAAAATGGCTTTTCAAAAATCTTCATGTTGTTGGCGATTATGAAATTACTTGAAAATGATGAAGATTGTAATGTTATTATTTACGTAGGCGAAAATAAAAATGAGAAGGAAATACAAACACATTCATGTATTTTACGTATTAGGTCTCAATATTTTCGTACAGCATTCTCCATGAATAAGAAGGATGGAAAATTTATTGAAATTATTTTATAGTAATATTATAAATACTTGTATAGAATAATAAATTAAATATTACAGCTAATATTATTTTTAATATTCATATTTATTTATTGCAGAAGGATTGACTCAGAGAAGTTGCAAGAACTTGATAACTTGAAGCTTTTATAACTTTGAATTCAAACCTTAGTCATCCATATTCAAGAGTATTTGACTAATCACCATCAAGACTTTATCAGATCAGTGATTTCTGATTTTGGTATGTGTTGTCTTGCGAATCAAAGCCATGCAGATAAAACATTAGGTGTCTTACCATTTGTCGCACCAGAAGTTTTAAAGAGAAAAAATATTTATGTAGATCATTCCTTTTTTAAGTAGTGCGCGTAAGAGTTTCATAAATATTGACCAACATTATCGTAATTCTGGCTGAAAAGATGATCATTATTCTTCGAAGCCCAAATCAAAATAATCAATATATTTGATTATAATTATTATGATGATTTAAAAATTATTTCCATACGAGATATCAATGATTAGATTTTATCCCGTTTAGCTCTGTATCATCTCCCTGTGGAGCATTCTTAGCATTAAACAGAACGAGTTTTCGCGCCATTAATGAAGTATTGGCAACTAGTGCGAATTCAATTTTGCGTCAACAAGATCAAGGCCATAAAGATGTTGAAAGTCAAAGATAAAAAGTATGTTTATGCTTATCTTAAGGATGAAGAAGGTTTAGGGAAAGCAATAGAGTTATGACACTGGAGAAGCTTGGATCATTCCATCAAAGAAAAAGAATTTTAATAATTTTATTTCAATGGAGACAGCACAAAATAATATTCCAATGGGACAAGTGCAAAAATTCCAAACAAATTAGGAAGTTGTCGATACGGTAAATAAATATAGACAAGATGTCTTGTTCGAAGAAACACTAAAAATTGACTATAATTTATTTTTATTTATTTTTATTTTAAAAATTTAGACAATGACGGGAGTCATACAAAAATGGGAGCTGAGCAAAATTGACTCTATAACGACAGATCTTCACCAGAATTACCACCAAATTTCTATCCCACGTGATCATGGTAATTAGTAAAATGTCAGCCCGTATCACACTTGTCTGACTTTCCCTTCTTCATAAGAATTCTGGTGACTTTTTTACAGTGCGTAAAATCATATTTGTCACCCATTATTTGTCACGCGTTTAATTTCTTGAATACCAATAATGCCGGTCAAAGTCACGTGTATATGACCAATCACAAGAAGCTACGGATATTATAGAAGTATTTCGTGAAAATAAAGATGCAACGAAGAAACAAGAATATTCTCCAACGTCAGGATGGTAGGAATACCTTGTCAGTCACGAAGGATCATACTGTTTGGAAGAGGCCTCTGTAGATTTATGTTGTTTCGCGTCCACCGGCGATTAAAACAGGGAATAAAAGATTTTAAGTGATGAATTGAAGAATTACTGTACAATAAAGTAAATGAAGAATGCTAATAGGCAAGAACGAATAGTAAAGAATATAAGGGTTATATATATAGACGTTATAGATATACAAGATTAGTATAGGATTGTCCGTTAAAGTGCCAATTAGCGGCGCATCTATTGTGGTTAGCACAATAGTAGATAGTTGTCTATTTTATACTGTTATGTATTTCTTTAGTTATAATTTGCTTTATAAATTTTTTACAAGATAATTTAATAAAGTAATGGGTATTACTAACAAAAAAATATGGGATCCGGTCAAAATCGCGACGGGTCAAAATCTCGAATTCTAGTGCTGGTCGAAAATATCACGCGATTCCGCATAATTCCGCATAACTCTGCATAACGCGGGCCAACTGTCGGGATTTTGACCCATTCGGGATTTTGACCCGTCGCGATTTAGACCCATAACCAATTTATTATCTTGAATGTTATTTTTGTTTTCGTTTTGAAAAAATATCATAGTTCTTTAATTTTTTTTCGCTATTTTGTAGTGTCTGGCTTAGGTTTCCCTAGATTTTACAAATATGTATTAGAGAGGTAGGTTAGAGTTTAATTAATTTGAAGGATTCTTAAATTTTCTGATATTTTGTAGATGGAAATATTAAAGTGAAAAAGTTCTTTTGATCTTATATACTAAACATATTGCATGACTTTATTCGAAAATTCTGAGAATATTATGTTATTACTCAACCAATAAAAAGATATGTAAAAGTATTAGGAACCAATAGTTCTATGTGATGAATTTGTAAAGAAAATGATAGAATTTATTTTAAAATACTCAATATTTTGCCCAAATTATTTAGGTAATGAAATTATAATACAAAGTTTAAATACTGCAATAAAATAAGTTTTCTTGCTCTATCAGCTTCCAATCGGGTAGGTACCTGATTGGCCAGCGTTTTACCTGTGTAAAGGTTTAGAATACTAATTTTGACTTTGACATATAATATAATATGGGGATGCGTTGAGGTGCGTATAAATTTAAACTATTTCTCAGGGTTAAACATGACCATATACTGTAATAAGTTTATTTTGGATCCAAAGAGTAATAAGAAGACGTTTGTTTAAAACTATTAAAAAATATTAAAAAACGTTAAAAATTTTTTTTTTATTTTATTGTAGAGAATCGGTTCCAAAGTTGGAAATCGGATCCCAAAAGAAAGTTTCGATTCAAAACTTTCCACATTGTCACATGTTATTGGTGGTGATATCACAAGTTTCTGCAAAGTTTAAGGGTACAATTAAAAACCAATAGCTACTTCATGATTTTGCATATACTATCAGAAACAATACTTTTCAAGAAGTTATTTGTCATAACGAAAAATTAGGAGAAATTGATGAAGTTATTTAAGATCTTTTGTTTCAATTTCTCAAATACAATATCAATTTTATAATTAATTTAATAAATGATTCCTAGATTTCGAAAAAATTATTGAAATATTATAACATTGATGTAACATTTTTGAAACATTTTTTGCAATCAAAAGTATTTTGATCACCATCGCAAATATCGCATGAAATGTTATTACCTAAGATAGTAAGTGGTACGTCTATTTGGTGAATTTTTTTTAACGCTGGAAATTTCGAAATACTGGCAACTCTTATAACAAGTTAGATTTTTTCTTTTCCGATTTACGACATCTGATATTATTTAAGAAATGTAACGAAGCGTGATATAAACTGGTGGACGCAAAAAAAAAAGGTTTGATCTCCATCCATTTAACATTAAAGATTAAAAAACTACTGATTATTTGTTGCGATATAAAAAAAATTTTTTTTTTTCTTGTTATATAAAATATATTAATACAAATTATATAAAGATAATTATTATAATATTTCTATATTTAAAATTAAATAAAAATATACATATATTACTATAGACATAAAAATTTATATAAAAAATCTATTTTGCATTACATAACTCTAAAAACATTATATAAAAAATCTATATTGCATTATATAAACTCTATAAAAAACATTATATAAAAAATCTATATTGCATTACATAATTCTATAAAAACATTATATAAAAAATCTATATTGCATTACATAAACTCTATAAAAAACATAACTGCGTAAATTATTATTTCAAATAAATCTAACTTAATTAATTTTAACTAAAAATATTATAAATGCAATAAATTAAATTAATCTTATATGAATTACTTTTTTAAGTTTTTCAATCTATTCTGAGCTTCTTGATCTCCTTGTTTAGCAGATTGTTCAAACCAGTAAATTGCTTTATTTATATCTTTACAAATTCCATCCCCTATTTCATACATATCACCAAGATTATATTGAGCATCCGTATCTCCTAAATCTGCTGCCTGTTGATATAATTCAAATGCTTTTTGTTTATTAACACTAGTTCCAATTCCGCAACTATAACAATATCCTAATGCTCTTATTCCATCGATAAATTCTCCTTCAGCTGATTGTATAGATAATTCAAATGCCTTGTTATCATCTTTATCAACACCATATCCATTCATATACATTATAGCAAGGTTATATTGTGCTAAAATATTTCCTAAATTTGCTGCTTTTTCATATAAAGAGACAGCTTTCTTTAAGTCTTTTTCAATCCCCATGCCTCTTTCGTAAAAATAACCAAGATAATTTATTCCTGTCGGATAATTCTTATTGGCTACTTTTTCATAAAATTTAAAAGCTAGCTTTTCATTTTTTTCGCTTCCATAACCAAATTCGTAACATAATCCAACATAAAACTGAGCCAATGTATGATCTTGCTCTGATGCTTTAATAAATAGGTCAAACGCTTGATTTAGATTTCCACTAGTTTCAATTCCTACGTAATTAAAATATCCAAGTAAGAAAATTGAATCCAAATCATTTTGATTATTTAACAACCAATTATAAATTTCTTGCGATTTTACACTATGATCATTATTAATATAATCAATAATATAATAGGTTACTTCTTTTCCTAAATTAACTAATTTAAAGATATATTCTACTATTTTTTTAATTACTATCTTTAAATTCTCTTTTGATGAAATACTTTCATCAACTATTTTTTCATTTGTTGTTATAGAGATGAATATATCTTTTTCCATTCCATTGTATGAATTACTGACACTCGAAGCATTTGAAGAAGTAATATTATTAATTGGATTAATTTCTAGTTTATCCGATAATTGAAAGCCTGATTTAATATGATGATTTCCTGTTATACTAATAGGTTTTGTAGCAGTCATTATTGCTTTTAAACTTTTTACTACCTGGCCTATGGTTGGTCGATTATTCGGCTCACCATCCCAACAATCTAAAAGGTATATATAATTTAGTAAGAAATAAATTATAATATATTGAATAAAATTAAGAACATTATTTACCGATATAAAGTTTTATATAATTCTCAGGTGTATCAGGAATAGGACTTTCTCTAAGACCTTGTAAAATATCTATAGCCAAATCAATATTATATTCTTCAGTAGAAAAGGGAGATTTACCGCTAGATATCTCCCATAACAATACACCAATACTGTAAATGTCGCTCTTTTCATTATATGAGAATAATTGTGTTGAATTTTTAATATTTTTTGGATCGACGTAAGGAATTATTCCAGATAATATTAATTGTTTGGACGCTAATCCAATTCTTTTTGATAACCCACAATCGGCCAACTTTATTGTGTTTTTATGAACCAATATATTACCAGGATGCTATTAATTATATAAATATTTAAAATTAATAATAAATTTAAAAAATATAATTGGCTATTTGAAATTAATGTAATTACCAAATCACGGTGTACGATCCCTTCATCATGTAAGCACGACACGGCACAAGATAATTGGTACGCCATGTTGTATTTATCGTCCCAGGTAAGGTTATTGAAATTTTTCTTTAAATAATCTTTAAGAGTGCCAGAATCGGCATATTCCATAACTAGTAAATGTCCTTTTAATAATTCATCTTGATTATCTTGATTATCTACCAAATTAAAGAAATAATTAATTTATTATTATTACGTTAAGAATTGATCGAACAGCGTATTATGAATATTATCGTTGGATATTTATATTATACCTGAATCAAATTTTGCAATTCCATGAAACTTAATAATATTATCATGAAATTGTATTTCTCCTTCTCTTTGAAGCTTAAGCTAAATATAATAAATATAAATTTAATAATAAGTATATATAAAAAATTATTGAAGTGAAATTATCTTACTTCATGAACTATTTCTTTGACAACGACGTCATTAAGATTAAAAAAATATTTCAATGCTATGTATTGTTCTGAATCTTTCCGATTCGCACGATAAACTTTTCCGGATGAACTGGAACCAATTTCTTGAATATTATGAAAATCCTTGCATTCATAAGTCCAATTATCCCATTCATTTTTATGTTCGGTGTCTTGTATTTCACTATTATTAGACATTGTAGAGTATGGGAGTATGGTAGATAACAAAGAATATCTTTTGTACAAATAGTTCATTTTATAGCTAAAATTAAGCAGAAAGGAAAGAAATGATTTTTTGGTTTGTTTTTTATTTTGCTCTTTCTACCATTTATAAATGAATTCAGATACAATCGTTACAACTAGCCAAATGACAGAGAAGGATACTTTACAAAGAACATTCAAAACAACATCCCATCTCATTCATTACGTGGCATTTTACGTAGTGATCATCGGCACCGTCCGTTGAATAACCTGGTGGCTAAACTTTATCCGAAGTCCCGTGATTTATAATTCTGGCCAGCACTGTAAATTTGGCCAGAATTACAAATATTTTCAGCATTTTAACCGGTTAATTTAACTAATTAATTTAACCGGATAATTTAACCGGTTAACCATAATAAAATAATTGTTTATTTTATGCTATAGCCTACAGCACAATGATGTAAAAATTGGGCCTGTGTAATGGTACAGCTTATTTTAATGACAAAAAAAGCTATTATAAGAATGGAATTCTTTATCGACAAAGAAAAGCTATTGAAAGAATGGAATTCTATTTTCGGAAAGGGGCTATAATTATTTTGTGGAAATTTGGAACCATATTTTTGATATAGATAACTAATTTTTTGCTTACTACCCATAGTTAATTTTTTTGTAATTTTTAGATTTATATTATTTATCTATTTATAAAAAAAACCAAAAAAAAATTTTTTCATCAAGTATGTTCTTTTACGATAAGTATTGATATAAGTTGTTTATAATAATTTTTTATTAGAATCGGAATTAGGCTATCAGATTGATGCTGCAGTGCTACACTAAAGCATGATTATTATTTTTATTATTGAATTTTTTTTTTACAAAGTTTTTTTCAAAGCTGCAGTGTCACTGTAAATACCAATTTTAATTTTGTTTTTTTACATTATTTTTAAATTTTTTCTGCACTTTCATTTTTTAGGTTTAAATCAGATTTGATGATTGGATTGAAGCTGCAGTGCTATTGTAAGTGCCGATTTTTATTTTAACTTTATCGAGTTTCATCAACAATATCATTCATCAGTCAATCGTAAAAATTTAATCAACAACAGGTAGAGTCGCGACGTTTTTTTATTTATTAGATTATGTTAAAAACCGTTTCGCAACGTTCTTTAACTGTTTTAACAAAAACGTTGCGCAGTTTAGAGTTCTTAAAATCATGGGGACAAATTCTTAAATTTAAATCAGTCCAGTCCAGATTGAAAAGACCAGTCTTTTTGGGACCGGACCGGACTAATCCAACCCTAGGTGTTTTTTTTTTCGTAAAAAAATTTTTTAGCCATTTATTTTTCAGGTTTGACGATCAGGTTGAAGCTACGGTGTATTTATTAGTTTTACTTTTCTACTTTTCATAAAAAAATTTTTAGCCATTTATTTTCAGGTTTGACGATCAGCTTGAAGCTACGACATTATTTTTACTTTTCATAAAAAAATTTTTTAGTCTTTATTTTTAGGTTTTAGATCGGATCAATGAGGCATTTCCTTTCCGATTTGATTTTTGCCTTTTGTTCTAATTTTATATTCATCTTTTAGGATTAGATCTGACTAGTTTGATGCTGGTGCTACAGTAGTAATGAACCACATTTAAAAAATCTTTTTATTATTAAAAAAATAAAAAGAAACATTCATTTTTGGCCAGATAGTTTGACGGATATCAAAAACCTTCGACCTGTACGGTCGAAACCTTTAAAAAATTTTCTTTTTCTACTTTTTTTTAAAAAAAAAAAATTTTTTACCCCACCGTTTTCATTGCATATAAATATAAATATGTATATAAAATTGAACAAAATTTTTTTGCATAACGCTTTTCCTAATTTGATCAAAAAAATCTTTGCTTACTAGTAGAAATTGCATTAATCGTTCTATTATCAAATGCAACAGTGGAAAGAATCTTCTCGCACCAAATTCTCAAGAATGAATTTTTAATTTTCGTTAATAAATTGTAAATAAGCATTTTTAGTGTAGGACATGTAAATATAATGACATTTAACATTTTAGTAATAAATAATTTTTTTTTCGTGCGTGCATATTATAATTTTAATTTCATATATAAAGCGTATATAAAAAAATTTTTTTTGCGTTTATCTTTCAAATTTTGTTTAAGCGGAAAATGCGCACATGATTTTAAAGTTTGCGCAAATGCCATTTATATATAATATGCGCTTTGCACCACTATCCGGAATAATAAATACAACTTGGCGTACCAGTTAGCTTGTGGAGTGTTATGCTTACTGCTTACACAATGAAGGGATCATACATCGTTGATTTGGTAACTATTTTAATTTAATTAATGTAAATTTTTTCTTTTTATTATATTTATTAATTATGTATATATATACTTTACTTTATTAGCATTCTGATAATATGTTGGTTCATAGAAACACAATAAAGGTGGCCGATTTTGGGTTGTCAAAAAGAATTGGGTCATCATCCAAACATTCAAAGTTATTTGGAATAATCCCCTATGTCGACCTAAAAGAATTGGTAAGCGAAAAAAGAATAAAAATTCAACACAAATATTCTCATTTAATGAAAAGAGTGACGTTTACAGTGTTGGAGTAATGTTAAGCTATAGAAATTTCGCAAGGTCTCAGAGAAGACCTTATTCCTGATACTCCTGAAAATTATACAAAACTTTATACTGGTAAATAATATTTAGATTTCTGGAATGGAGAACTAGTTAACCGTCCAATTATAAAACAGTTGTTAGAAAAATTAAGAGCAATGATTACAAAAACAAACATGACAACAGAAAATTATCGACTTAAATCAGGTTTTCAACAAGAGTTTAATACTTCAAGTGTCAATAATTCATATCATGGGGAATTGTCTCGGGTTATTCAAAATTTTGATAAAATGAATACAAAAGAAATAATATCTGCAATATCAGCAAAACAAATAATTAGTAATGAGACTATTTATCTCAAAAGGATTGGAGTGTAATAATTTAACGAAGCTTGTTTTATTATGAATTTTACATGCCCAATTATTTGTGCATTATTTAATTGTTAAACAAATTTAATTTGTGTTTCCGTTATCTTCTATGATGAAATAATAATTACGTCAAATACTTAAAAAATACTTCCCCTAGTTGATCAACTAACTAAATAAGTAAAAAATAATGCCGATGCATCAATTGCACATCGCTATGGCATTTGCTCTTCGATAAAGTATTTTCTAAATTTAAAACTGACTTTTCCGCGGAGAAAATCCATATAATCAACGGAGAATTTTATCCTTTTTAAACCTTATCATTCAATTATAAATAAATATAAATAACGTTTTTTCCGATTTTATTATTTAATATCATCTATAACACAACAATTAAAATAATATAATGAACCTTGTAAACGATGATTCTTTTGATCCAACACCAAAATTAAAATCTAGTCTTATACCAATTAAATTTTTTTCTTTTAATACGGCTGATGAAAATTGTGTTTATTGTGAAGAAGAATATAGTAGGAAGCTTTTTTGTCCTTGGAAAAAATATTGTAAAAAATGTTACGTATCGCATTATGATAGTACAAATATTATGATGTGTGTACATTGTAAAAAGTCGTCGCAAGGAACTTGTGGGAATTGCGTGAAAACTTTAAATTTTATGCATAGGAAATATTCCCATTATTGTAATTTATGTATTAAGCCATTTCAAACAAAGGATAATTTTGTATTATGCTCAAATTGTTATCTAATTTCATTTGAATGGATAGAATCAACCTTGTTTAAAAAGCAAATTCTAATTCTTTACTTACCATGGTGGCATGACAATTCTAATTGTGATTTATGTCATTCTGAGTTAACATTTACATCAGATTGTCAAAAGTATTGTGGGAATTGTCCTATGTTTTATACCGGATGCAGATATTGCTTAACAACAAACATAATTTTTGGACTTACAGGTCAAACCACATGCAAAAAATGTAAAAGAATATCACTTATTATAGACAGGAATGTATTTGATGATTTCTTTCTTGATGATATTTCATATGGCAACATTGATAACTTAAATTTAGAGATTGCAAATATTATAAAAAGCATTGATAGGGTTTTTGAACCATTAACTCTATTATATTCTATTTTTAAAAAAATAAAGATTGCAATCCCAGTTAGGTCGATACCATATTCTGAATTTAAAGATGTAAAAGAAATAACAAAAGGAGGATATGGTATTATATATAAAGCAACTTGGTTAAATAATAATAAAACTGTCATTTTAAAAAGATTTGAAAATTCTAAAATTAATAATAAATATTTCTTAAATGAGGTGAATATTTTTAATATTTTTGTGATTAATTTTTTTATTAATTAATTTAGTCCTTAATCTTTGGCTATTAAATCTTAAAATTTTATAGTTAAGATCAAATCAACAGTGTTTTAATAAATTTGATAATTATATAATTAAAACTTATGGTTTTACAAGAGATCCTGAATTAGAAGATTATACATTAATTATGAAGTATGCGCCAGAAGGAGATTTACATAAGTATCTACAAAAGAATTTTACAAATATTACATGGAATAATCAAAAACTATTTATTTTATTGCAAATTACAGAAGGGTAATTATATTTAAATATAATTTTTTATATTATTGAAATTTAAATTTTAACTTCTTTTTTTCATTTAGACTTGAATATATTCATAAAAATACATTTGTACATCGAGATTTCCATAGCGGAAATATATTACTTGATATAATTCAATGGAAAATTGGGGATCTAGGATTATCACAATCTACAAATGGCGAATCATCAAATAATGAAATATACGGAGTTATACCCTATATTGCACCAGAAATATTTAAAGGGTCTGCATTTTCTAAAGAAACTGATATTTATAGTTTTGGCATGGTTATGTGGGAACTTACAACAGGTTGTAAACCTTTTGCTAATGTTGAACATGACCATAATCTCATTTATAAAATTCTTGATGGAGAACGACCAAAAATTACAGAAGATACACCAGAATGTTATGCCACTTTAATGAAAAGTTGTTGGGACCCTAATCCAAAAAAAAGACCTTCTATAAAAGAAATTTATTCAAATTTACGTAAGTGGTCTTATAAATACGTAGCAGAATTTGAACAAGCTGAAGTAAAAAGAAACAGATTGATAGAATCAAAGATGATTGGTCCTGAATTTGCTGAAAAATGTCACCCGGAAGCCATTTATACAAGTAGACCATTAAGTGATATAATTTCTAAATGTTCATCCATTAATTCATCCTCAGCAATTTCATTTTGCGATAAACAAGGTATTGCTAAAAGAGTTAATTGCAATTGAAAATTATTATATACAGTAATCTTTAAATGAATATTATTTTCTTAGATTATAATTATAATTATATTTCGAAAGAAAAAGAGCTTGACATAGACGTTGAAAGGTATTTGTAATTATATTTTGAATTTATTATATTATGTACTAATTAATTGATTTTTAATTGTAATTTAGTTTATCATCACAAGATATAACAATTCAAAATTCTTCAACCTCTTTAAAAAAGAGAAACAATGAAGAATTAAATTCTGAAACCCAAGACAATAGTAATAGTGGTGGTAAATATTTATTCATTTGCTTTAATGATATTTATTTATATTTTCTTTTAATATTATTTTAATCAATTTTAAAATATTTAAAAATAGGAAAACGTGTTAAACTTTTAAATGACATCCAGTAGTTGGAATACGCACGCAAGATATATAGTATATTGAATGCCGTATTTCTATAATTATTTATCAATATCCATCCATATATATCATAAATTATATTTTTAAATATTCATTGATTTTTTATGTATTATTTTTATTTTTAAGAAATCAATTTTCGCTTTAAATGATTTATAGTATCTGAATTATTTAATGGAATAAAAGTTTCGATTTTTAGATAAATGGTTTTGATTGGGTCTTCTTCAATATTCCAGTTATTTCAGTTATTTCTTTTATGCAATCAACTTTTAGATTGAAACATAAATGTAGCATATCATATTCAACTTTTCTGGTATTAGAAATAATACTGTATAATTGAAAAATAAATATACTTTTTTATTTTTTTTTATTCTAAGAAGAGAAAATCAGAATTTAAAAAAAAATTGTCATATTTAGATTACCCATATAAATAATTTGAATTGTGTAACATTGAAAAGTGTGATATTCTTGCGCCCGATCTATTTCGTATTTATCATATCATAATTAAGAAAATCTTTTAACTGATACATTTCCGGTTAATTAAAATTTTAACTGGATTTTTTTTTATTCTAATAAATTAATACTAACAAAAAAAAGTATATTAATTGTCAGTTATTACCACTCTCTTAGTTAACCACAACTAACCATTTCTATTAGATAGACAATAATAATTTTTTTTTATTTTCGGATTTTACCGTAAAAACTGAAACTACCTTTTTTAATAATTTTTTTATCCCTTTAACCAAAATTTTTTCTTATTCTTTTTTTATTATATTTTTATTGGATCGGAATTTATCAAAGTTTTTGGTTAACCCAAAAGAATATTATTATTCTTTTTTAGTTTAGATCGGATCAAAACTATAATCAAATTAGAACTATGTCCTACAAATTTTTTGATGTTTGATGAGATTTTTTTAGTCAATGATATTGTTTCTGACTAATAAATTCGTGTAAAAATTTTTTTAGTATCAACAAATTTTTTTTTAGTTAGTTTGTTTTTATTTTTTGACTAATAAATTCACATAAAAATATTTTTTTTGATAAGATTGTTTTTAATTATATAGATACATAACAATATTCACCTGCATATTATTTTATTTAAATTAATTTATATTTTATTACTCTCATAATCTAATTATTAATCAAAGTGAGCTTCTAATTGTGACTAAAAATTTAATATTATATAGTAATACTACTACTCCCGGGTGCAACTGCTAGTTTATATATAAATTTTTAATAGACGAGTGATAATCGGGTTTTAATTGAAGAAAAAAATGCAAGATGCATGAATTTACAACATTAGAGATTTTTTTGATTTTTTTTCATTTTAAATCAATTTAAAAAAACTTTTTTTTAAAAAAAAGAATTTTTAAAAAACTTTTTAAACTTAATAAAGAAACTTCTTATATTATTTAAAAAATATTTTTTTTTAAGAAGTGGATTTTTTTTATTAATTATTCTTGCACTCCAGAGTAAAGATTCATTTTTTTAAAAAAAAACTAGGCGTAACCCGTCGCGTTGCGCCGAGGATGATACTTGGCCATTAAGTAAGAGAGTAATAATAACACAATTATATTTTATTTGCCATGCAGTGTGAATAGGTCTAGTTTTTTACTATTATTATGATGGGATTAGTAGAAAATAAATATAATAAATTACACAATTTATATGATTATACAAATAAAAATGAATTGTGTACAAGTGTCATATAGTATATGAAATATTATTATTAAATGTGAATTTTATTTATCACACGAAACAAATGTTGCAGTACTGTGAAATTTACAAATTCATTACAAAAACAATTTTTTATAAGTAGTTTATTGTTACATTGTTACAAAAAAAAATCTTTTTTTTTTATCTTAAAAAATTCCATTGTAGCATTAAAAAAAATTACACCCTCTAAAAAAAAATATCTCACTAATTATTAATATGAAAAAATAAATTTCCAGAAAAATTAATTATAATGATCTATTGTTACAAAAAATGAATAAATAAGTAATAATGTTAGTCTATTATTTAGTTTGATACAAAAAAGTATTATTATTAATAATAAGAATCGGGAAAAAAGGTGGCACCGCAACATCGATCTGATCACTGATCCAAACCTAAATGGTGAAAGAATGTATTTGGGAAAAAAAAATTCAGTTTGGAAGAAAAAAGTCAAACAGAAAAAAGAAAAGGGGAACCGGAAAAAAACAAAAAAAATAAAAAAATCCAAAAAAATAAAAATGAAAAAAATTTGTGGTAAGGAACAAAGAGAAAAATTGGGTTAAAAAAAGAAACCGAAAAGGAAAAAGAAAGAAAAAATAAAAAAAATTTGAAAGAAAAAGAAAAAAAAAATTGGGGGGAAAAGAAAAGGATAAAGAAAGAAATCGGTTTTTTTTAAAAAAAATAAGCACCAAAAAAAAATTTTGAAAAAAAGGACAATAATTCGGTCCAAAAAGACTGAAAAAAAATTCAAAAAAAAATTAATAATATGGTCAAAAAAAAGACTGAAAAATAATATAAGTCTTAAGATTATTTAATAAAAAAAAAATAATAATAATTTTCAGTTTTGGAAAAAAAACCAAATCTAAATGGAAAAAGAATAAAAAGAACAAAAGAAAAATTTTATAAAAAAGAAAAAAAAGGAAAAGAAGGTGTTTCGAAAGAGAAAAGAGGATTTTTTTTAAAAAAAGAAAGAACCATTTGTAACTGGAATTGGGTTAGATGTACAACATGACTTGCCGATATCAAGCGGGTCTTAACTCAAGTCTCAAGATCTTAAGACACAGCAGATCATATGAACAAAATGAATCACATACTAAATAAATCACAAATTTTTTTTATATTTTCAATACTTTAATTTTAGGAGGAATTTATATAAATGAGCCAAATTAAAATATACTTATTTACTTATAATTACAAAAATCTTGCTTTTTAATTACTATCAAATATCGGATTGTAAGTAAAACTGATACTGATACATGGTACAATTTCTTTTATTATTTACTCAAATATGCATATTTAACTCAGCTCACCTATGCCCAAATTACTCTAATTAATATTAATAATATTGTATAAGAAATTTTTTTGATCTCCTTTCTTCTTTTTCTTTAGTGATGAAACATTTGATGAAATCTTAAATGAGGTGCACGTGTAAAAATTTCTTGCAGACTTACTTCTCGATATATTGTAGTACAGAATCAAGTTTATGGTATTAAATATTATTCTAGACCATGTCACGTTTTTTATGAAATAGGAAATGATGGACCAATTAATTTTTTACTTCATAAATAACGAATAACGTAACATTTTAATGGTATACATTTAGATAAGTCTATGGTTTTTTAGAAAATACGGTGTAATAAACTTAACGAAATTGATAGAGGGTTGGGAATAGATAAAAATGTTAAAAAACAACATTTTGGTAAAGAACGGTTTATTGATAAAACGCGAATATCAAAAACTAAGAAAATACTTCGATTTCAAAATCATATTTATTTTGAGGTAACACAGTAGATTACAGTAGTGTTTCGTAGTTTTATTTTTATTATTATTTTTTGTAATTATAGTTAGGGATTAAAACCGGTTAAGGTTAACCGGTTAATTAACCGGTTAAGGCGGTTAACTGGTTAAGACCTCTCAAAAAACGGTTAACCGGTTAATTTAACCAGTTAAATTAACCGACTAATTAACCGGCTAACTTAACCGGTTAAAATACAGATCATCCTAAATTAGTAATTCCTAGCCAACTTCTAACTTTAACTTTACTAGCATTAACTTTAATTTTGCCCACCCTAATAGATTCGATGATAAACCTGCAATCTTATATTTTAATATAATATATTGCATATGATATTTATAATTTAACATTATTTATGTTAAAATATTCTAAAGTTATAACCTTGATTTATGCAGAAATCAGCAT